AGAATAAATTGCCTTTGTCTCGTTTTACCTTGAAGATCCCATCGCCAATGACAAGTGTGTTTATTTATTTTTATTATTATCTATAAGCATATATTTTCTTAGAACTTCTCATCTTCTCTATTTATTTGATTAATTCTACCAACCAAACAAATCCCCTTCTCTTCGAATTTCTTCCTCTAGAAGCAGTTGCCATGTCTATCCACAACGATCTCATCAACCTTAACCCCAGCGACACCACCGTAAAGATCGTAGCTGAATATATATGGTTCACGAATCTTCTCTTCCTTAGTTCCTATGCTTTTCCTCTTCATTTCCAATCCAAGACTGATCATTTCTTCATTTTTTCCCTTTTAATTCTGTTTCAGGATGGATGAACCGGGAATGGAATTGAGGAGCAAATCAAGGGTGCGGTTCTTCGAGTGTTCAAAATTCGAATCAGAGATTTAAATTACGCAATCGTTATTTAAATACCTGGCTCGAACTCCCTCTTTTGTTGAATCTTTTCTTAAGAAACAACTACTGATTTTACCGTTCGTAAATTCTACAGACTCGGTGTAGAGCAGGGATGGATACTTCCGAAGTCCCGCTCTGGACCTACGATGGTGGTGGTACGGACGGGGTTGTCGGAGCTGTTGCTTCGACTTCTAAAGTAAATATGAAAAAGGTGAAGAAATCCAAGCGTAACAAGAATGGGCGCCTCAAGTCTGAATGCAAAGATGATTTAACCTCAAAGTCAAGCGAAGGTGTTCAAAGATTTAGAGGAATGTTGAGTTGTTGATTTTAATGTTCTTGCTTTCTTTGCAGGTGTTCAAACAAGTTAGAAGTCTGTTTCATAATAATATCTTGTTATGAACTGGAGACGAAAATAATGTGTTAGCCGATGTTATGAGAGAATTTGTTCTTTATTCCGATGAATAAAACAATCATCTTCGTACACTGTCCACAGCAGCCGCCATATCGCTGTATCAAACATGTGAACAAAAATAATCAAATTATGTGAATAAATGAATTTTATGAGGATAATAGATTTATAAAAATATCATTACAAAGATTAATATTTAAAATTAGCTTTCAATATATATGTAACATTTCATTATGATATTTTAGTAGAATTATTTTGTGATTTAAATAATCATATAATTAATAAATAAAGAATGATAATTTTTTTGACAAATTTTAAATCTAATCCTAATCCTATCTAGAGGGGAATGGAAATGATAGACCGTAGGGGAAAGAATGAGAATGTTTCTAGTGAGTTTAGAACTCATTACCTAAGTAAATATAAAAAATAAAAATAAACAACTTGAACAATCGACCAAATATGATTGCTTAAAGAACAATAACTTGATTACATAAGATTTTAGTCCATGTTATATAAGTTCATATGATTCCACGTTGTAATTTACAAATGAAATGTAGGTTAAATTATAAATATTTAGATAAAATTATAAATGGAAAAATTGATTGTGAAAAATATTTATTTAAGTTGTATCATTTTTATAAAAAAAATTAAATTATTGTATTTTTAAAAAAGTATTTTTTATTAATAATTTACTTTCACTCTTTAAAATAAATTTATTATTTTATTCTAAACATAAAATCATGAATCCAACCTTAATAATAATTATCAAAATGATAAAAACATGTTTTTCAATTAATCTAGGGTAAATAATATATAAAGCAGTACTTGTTCAAAGATAACTCTTAACCATTTGATATTGAACGCTCAAACACATGACATTTCTGGTGCTCAAATATAGAACCTCAAGGAATAATAACAATTTCTTTACCACCGAGGTCATTTAGTTTGTATGAAAAAACATTTCTTTAAATTGTTCATATTTACAATCAAATATAACAATGAAAATAATACATATGTATATATATACACATACAAACATATATACATACTCTTTAAATCATTTAATTTTTTTTATTTTATTGAACGAAACTTAAATGATCTTTAAATGATATTTTTATAAAAAATAAAATGAAGTTTGAATTAATTTGCATGTGATAACATGAAAGTAAGCATTACCCATAATTTGAAAAAAGAGGTTGATTACTAATTCATGATACTAAAATTTCTCTGATTCTCTTCTAAACAAGGATAAATTACAAATTTCATCATTTAATTTTTTTCTCATTCTTATTTTGGGCACTAAAATTTAATATTTTTAATTTATTCACTAAACTTTTGATTTACTCATATTTTGGTCACTCTACAGCTAAATACATAATGACATTATAACTCAACATTTTTCCTATTTAAAATTATAAAATATCCCCAAAACAATGAAACATTTTTTACCAAGTTCCAATGATGAAAGGTAAAAAAAAGGAAGAAGTAAGTTGTATATCTTGATTCCACATTGATCGAATGATAGATATTATAGATCAAAGTATTTTGAGGTTTCATGGTGTTTGAGTTTAGGGTTGAGATTTTATGAATTTTGAAGTTATTTAGGTAAAATTTAAACTGATAGAGTGATATGAGAGAATGAAGAAAGTTTATCGATATCTTCAATGTTCGAAGAAGACATTAGAGAATAATAATTACAATGTTGACGTGACACAATGATTAAACCATAAAAATTTCATCTTTAGAGGAATAAAATATAATAAATAAATTAAAAATATAAAAATGGCATGGATGATCAATGGAGTTCATGCCAATAAAATATAGTTTACATCAGCACACGTGACTGGCATATCACATTTCTATTTATTATTTAATACTCTTGTGACTAAAATAGGAATAAATCAAAAGTTTAATGATTAAATTAAAAATTTTAAAGTTTGATGACTAAAATAAGAGTTAAAATAAAGTTGAATGATGATTTTTTTAATAAATCGGGTTTCCAAAATCATGAAATATTAGATCACTTCAATGATTTTTAGTGTGACATCTACAAAGTCGATAATGTGTAAACGTAATATTCAAAGATGTTCTAGTTAGGGGTGCTTATGGAATGAGTCAATCACGAGTAAAACATTGTTCGATTCGTGCTCGTTAAAAAATTTTGTTGCTCGACTCAACTCGTTGCTCGTTAAGCTTGTTAAAATTTTGCTCGACTCGTGCTCAATAAGAAAACTTGTTGTTCGACTCGTTGCTCATTAAGCTCAATGCTCATTGCTCGACTCGTTGTTTGTGAAGTAATTTAAAGCTTAAACTCCAAAGTAACAATCTACAAATATATTAAAATAATAAATAAGGTTTGATTTTTTAGTGTATAAAATAATTTTTTAAGATAACTACTAAAAAATTATATAAAAAAATTAATAATTTGCTTGCGAATTTATTGAGTCGAGTTGGGTTTTGTTCGACTTAATTCATTAAGGTCTCAAGTTGAACTTGAGTTTGAATCGAATCAACCCGAATTAAATTTTTACCATGTTTTGACCGAGTCGAGTTCGAATTACTCATGAGATTTACTCGTTAAGCACCTTAGTTATAGTATTTTTTTTAAACTAATGAGCACCTTAGTTACTCACGAGGTTTTGGGTTTCGCATAGCTCAAAAAACCATGTACATATATCCGATCCAAAATTCGGGTCTCCATCGCTTCGCCTAATTCCATTTGGGCTGTTGAACTGGGAAAAAAACAGCAGCGGTGTTTTTGTGTTCGTTGCAACATAAATCGTCAACGCGATGAAGAACATTTTCTCGATCCCCATTTTGATAATTTCACTTGCTTTATGGTCAGTCGTTGATAGCGCATCAAACGGCGTGGGGGAATGGCAGATCCTCACCAACCTAAACTTCTCTTCTCAGATCCGTCGCCACCCTCGCACTCTCCTTTTCGTCACTGTTCCACTCTCCTTTTCGTCACTGTTCCATGTAACCTACAAATTCAATTCAAATTGTTTGTCGGAGTTCAGTTCACGGTCACGAATATATATATATATATGTGTGTGTGTGTGTGTGTTAAAATTGTAATCTGTAATCACGTTTTTCTCATTTGTTTTACAGGGTGCGGCGAGTCCCGGTCCCTTATGTGGGAAGTGTCCCGGTTAGTTGCCGATAAGTCAACGGAGTTTGACTCCTTGAAATTGATGTTTATTCACAGGAACACGGAGAAAATGTTGGCCGATTCCATTGGTGCTTGGGATGGAATAACGGTGTTTTATTATGATCACTCCTTTTCTTGTAAGTACCAAGGAAAGCTTCGAGCTCGAAGTATATTGAACTCTATTCATCCTTACATGTCAGCTGCTTCTCCCGAGGAACTTCCTTTAAAGCCCCTTAATTCTCAGGAGGACTTGAAATCGTTTCTCGAATCAACTGACAAAGCTTTGATATTAGCTGAATTTTGCGGTTGGGCTCCCAAGTTAGTGGCTAAGGTCAAGAATAATGGAAGTCGAACTGATTTGACACCTAAGGTTGCTGGTAGTTTCTTTCTTCAATTCATTCCCAGATTTAATTTATTTAATTAATGAAGAGAATATTTTGGATAAGGGTTAGAGGTAATGTTGCTTAAACTTTTGTTTTTAAAACTCAGGAAATGGAAAGTGGGATGCTGAAATGTGGTGTTGAAAATGGGATTGCTGAAATTCCTTGGATTACTCTGTTTAGTATGGTAAATGATAGTGTTTCTTCACGAGAGAGTGAAAATTTGCAATTTGGTCTTGGTTTGAGCTGTACCTTAAAAGAGTACAAGCACTTTGATTCATTTTTCTCGAAGTTGATTGATGTTAGAAGAGAGTTCTTAGTTCCTCCCGAAAGGCTTAGATTTTGGTTGTTCAAAAGTTACTAAAGATGAGGATGAACTCAAGAATGCCTTAATTTTTTTGATAGGAATAGAAGGCCTCATTAAAAACCTTCCTCATAATTGCCTCTTGTAAGGAGACAAATAGAGGAAGGAGGAAAAGAGTGCTTAAATATATTAATAACCCATAATTACATAAGATTCCAAACATTACATAAAATTACCTAACATAGAACCATAACTAAAATAATACACCATAACCACTACTCATAACAACAACCTCCTCACTCACTAACCAATTCCTGACTTAGCTAGACAATTAGCTTCCACATTAGTACATCTGCTGATATGCTTAATGATAACATTAGACTGCACAACTATCTTCTGAATTTCTATAATCAAATCAACAAGGTGAACCGGGCAAAGTTCCGGACTGTTGATCCACTTCACAACAAGAAACGAGTCACTTTCCAAAATTAGAATTCCTTTATCCCTCCAAACTGACTCAAAAAACACTTCTAACCCCACTTTGATAGCAAATATCTCAGCAAGAATAGGAGAACAAGGTCTTAATGCTCTATAAAAAGAAGCCATCTTGTTCTTATCGGCATCTTTAAGAACTCCACCAATACCACTTCTTCTCCAATCAAAGTTAACAGCCCCATCAACATTCATCTTAAAATAACCTGTAGGAGGAGGGCACCATTTTACTCTTGACTATCGAAAGTTAGAGGGGGACTTATGCAAATCCGCCAAAGTAAGATCTCCCACGAGGTTGTCCACTTGGATAGACACATCCTTGTTTTTAGCTAAAAACCATGAACCCACCCTATACCTCACAAAAAAAAAAAGATTAGCTCTATCCAACTTGCCTTTCTCAAATACAATCTGGTTCCTACACAGCCAGACAGACCACAAAATAGCTCATGGGATAAATCTCCAAATACACGAGTTTGGTCTTAATTGCGCCCAAGAAAGCAAGAAGCCTTTCGAACTATTAGGGAGAACTAAATTAACTTTCCACATACGGAGGAGTTTGACCTAAATCTGGCAAACCTGGACGCAAGGAAAAAAATAAATGCCTGACCGATTCTGGTTCCACTCCACATAACACACATAAAGGGGATACAATATTTTTGACTCCTCTTCTCATTAAGACAATTTTAACAGCCAACTTCTGATGAATAATTTGCCAAATGAATATCTCCACTTTTGGTGGAACTAAACCCTTCCACACTATCTCCAACCATGAATTATTTGATTCTGACAAACTTGAAACTAATCTAGAGCAAGATTGAACCGAGTACACACCATCCCCACTACCTTTCCACGCCAAACGGTCTTCACCCTTCAACGGAGGTTAAAAATTGTCCAACAATACCATCATTTCCATCCACTGTTCAAACTCACTGTCCATTTAGTTCCTCCTAAGTTGTAAATCCCACACCCACTCCCCATTAGACATACACCCAAAATCAACCACAACCCCTTATTAACTGATAGTGCAAAAATCCTTGGAAACATAGTCTTCAAGGAATAGTTAGAAATCCATGAATCATGCCAAAATCTAATTGAATCTCCTTTTCCCACCTGAAGCACAATATTATTTCGAAAGCATAACCCAAATAAGTCATTAGTCCGATAGTTATTTACAACACCTTTCCAAATCCAAGACACATTAGAGGGAAAATTATCATCTGAAACAATAGAACTCGTTCCCACATTATACTTGGAACATATCATTGTCTTCCACCAAGAGTCCTTCTCCGAACCAAACTTCCATACCCATTTTCCCAGTAAAGCTCTATTCCGTAGCTTAAGATCCGAAATTATCAATCCCCCCAACTCTTTATTTTTACAAACATCATTCCAGTTAATCCAATGAAACTTTTTCTTCTCAGCCGAAGAACCCCACAAGAAGTTGGCCATAATAGATTCCAGTTTCTTCCTCACAACCACTGATATTTTGAAAAGTGACATATAATAATTAGGGAGTGAATTCAGGACTGATTTTATCAAAACTATCCTCCCTGCTATGGATAGAGAAGATAATTTCCAGCATGCCAATTTCTGGTAGAACTTCTTCACAATCGAATCCCATAGTTGAATAAAATTTATCTTTGCTCCCAATGGTAATCCCAAATATTCTGTCGGAAAAGAGTCTCTTAAGCAACCAATAGATTCTGCCCACTCCCCAACAATCTGATCTTGTAAATTAATACAAAAAATTCTGCTCTTCACCAAATTCAGTTGTAGCCTTGTACACAACTCAAATACAACCAAGACCCTCTTCAGATTTGCTAACTGTCCCTTAGAAGCTTTACAAAATATGATCAAGTCATCCGCAAATTGTAAATGAGTCAGCATCGAAGAAGAATTATCAGAACCTATTTAAAAACCCTCAAACAGCCCCAAAGCTACTGCTTTAGACAACAACAAATTCAAAAATTCACCCACTAGATTAAACATGAGCGGGGATAAAGAACACCCTTGTCTCAGCCCCCTAGATATTTTAAAACTTTCAGTAGGAGAGCCATTAACGAGAACTGAAATAGAAGTTGAACTTAAGCAATTATATATCCACGACCTCCATCTTCTACTAAACCCATACACTCCATAATTTGAATTAAAAAATCCCAATCAACAGTGTCATAAGCCCTCTTGAAATCCACTTTGAAGACGAGACCTTCCCTTCTTTTCCTCCTCCAGAAATCGATGGCCTCATTAGCAATTAAGGAACAGTCACAAATCTGTCTTCCCAGAATGAAAGCAAATTGAGATTGACCAATCAACCCTCCCATGCACAGTCTTAGCCTTCTTGACAGAACTTTAGACAAAATTTTATATAATCCTCCTACCAAACTGATTGGTCTGTAATCCTCAATGGCAACCGGATTCTGCTTTTTCGGAATTAGTGTAATGAAAGAATGATTGACACCTTTCCCAAACTTCTTCCCTTCATAAAAATCTTCGAAAAACTTATGAATATCTCCTTTCAAAACTGGCCAAAATTTCTTAAAAAATCCCATATTCAACCCATCTGGACTCGAAGCTTTGTTGCTATCCGAAGAATCTATTGCCTCCAAAACTTCCCCCTCCGAAAAATTCATATCCAATTGTGCAACTTGATCTCCGAAAGCCTAGTAAAATTCAATTCCAGCTTTTCAACTTCAACCGTCAGAATGGCATTGTAAGCGTTCTTGAAAAAATCAAAAACAACAACTTTTATCATCATCGGCTCCTCAATCAAATTAGCACTGACATCCAAAGCATTAAGAGAATTAATCCTCCCTCTATTTGTAGCACATTGATGAAAGTACCTTGAATTCCGATCCCCATCCATAATCCACTGCACCCTTGATTTTTGGAACCAAACTAATTCTTCTTTTTTATACAATGACCATAGTTCACTTTTTACTTTTGCAATATCCACCATAGAAACGAGAGAATTCCTTTGTTGTAGTTGAGCTTCTTGATTTGAGATTAGCCTCTCTTTGCTGTCAATCAAACTGTGTAATTGCATTCTGCTTTCATTAGACCAATTCCTGATTTCCACCTTTGTTTCTCTAAGAACCTCCTCAATGCTCAGCCTCTTCCTACTCTTAACTTCTGAAATTTTATCTTCCACTGCTTCCTTAAAACCCTCCTCATCCATGATATAATTGAACAATTTGAAGGGTTTCGGACCCCAATTTAGCTTGCTGGATTCCAAAGCCACAACATTATGGTATGAAATTAATTTTGGTAATAACCTCTGAACAACATCCGAGAATAAACCTAAAAAATGTCTGAAACAAGAAACCTATCGAACCTCACAAACGTAGGATCTTCCCTATTATTACCCCAAGTGAAACTCCCTCCCACCAAAGGCAGATCCATTAAATTTTCTTGAAACAGAAATTCCCTGAACCACACAATTGAATTTTCATTCAGTGATTTCCCCAACTTCTCTTCCTGTGACAAATGAGCGTTAAAGTCTCCAACTACACATAATGGGCATCCCAATGAGGAAATAAAACAGGTTTACTCCTCAAAAAATGCCTCTTTATCGGCTTCAACTGAGGGCCCGTAAACATTAATAAAACAACACACCTCTTGGTTAACCTTTATTGTACCCTTCAAAGCTATAAACCTTGGAGAAATCTTCACCAACTGAGGTACAAACCAGTCCTCATCCCACAGAGTAACCAAACCCCTTGATGCTCCCACTGTCGAAGACTCCACCAACCCACCTAGGTATTTACCCCCAACTTCCTTCTCATACCTATATTAACCACCTCTAATTTCGTTTCTTGCAGAAAAAGAAACGACAGTTTCTTATCTACAACCACCTTTCTCACTGCCCTAGCCTTTTCCTTCCTACCTAAACCCCTAATATTCCAAGTGACACAAGATACACGAACCATAAAAAATAATTAAAAACCTTAAACCAAATAAGGGTTAATACCCACCCTTCTCCCTCTTAGCCAAATTAGACTCCGAATACTTCTCGGCAAAATCCTTCTTTCCCCCCTTAAAGTTAACACCTAACATTTGGCTAACCTGTCAAGTTAATTCCATTTCATCTTTATCAATCGAAAATTCAACTGCTGAAAAACCTTCTCCGATTCACCTCTTATATTCTTCTTAGTATACCTGTTGTAAACTCTGTCACAGAAAATAGTAGCAGCATTATTAGGTCGAATTCGATTTGTTGGAGGGGAAGAAGAACACCTCCTTGTAGGAACTTTATTAACTTGCACCCCATTAGATCCAAACTGAACTGCTGCAAAATCTATCCCTGATCCCTCCAAAATAGTCTGTTGAGGACCTCCACCTTTCCCCCTAATATCAGCTAACTCATCAGGCTTGTAACCACCTCTATATGAACTTGGACTTCCCTCAACGGCCCCATTAACTTCTACCCTACCCTTGGTACCATTAAGTCCATTCACTTGGTCAACATTATCAAGCCCCAAGGAGACCCCACCCCTGTTTACCACCCATTCTCTCTCTTCTGTACCAGCCCTCAACCTTCTCTGCTCTCCCTGGACATCACCCAGAACTGTCTCCTATACACATACATCAACTACCACTAAATTTTGAAAAACCCCTTTTCCTTCCAACCGCCCATCGAAATTTGTACGCTCCCCTTGTGGAGAGTCCAAAACCCATGCTTGTACGCTGTTTTGAATATCTGACACCGTCTGGTTACCCAACCTCCCTTCCTGCTCTTCAACATCATCCCCATTGCTCTCTTCCGGCAAGTTATCCTCCTCATTATTTACTGTTCCGTCATCTTCAACCATATCCTCTAACTCCGGAAAAAAATCTTCACTTCCTTCCACCTTAATCTTAATCATGAACGATCTCCCAAACGTATTAATAGTGACATGGGGAGGAATATCAAAAGGACTTTCAAGCCTCAATAACATATGAGCTACTCTACAATCCACTCTTTTAGCAGTTTGTTCATGTATCTTAACTAGTTTGCCCCATCTCGACGCCAAGCTTGTGAAAAAAGGAACTGACCAACAATTTAGAGGAACACCAATCATAGAAACTACACAGTAAGGTAATGGCACACCCTTTTCTTCCATAACATGCTCCAACCTCTCGAACCAAAATGACAAAGCCTCCCACTTGTTTTCCATTGTTGCAACTTTCTCCTCAACAGTCTGGAAAACTACCAGACATGCGTTTTTTGCATAACCCATTGAACCACTTTGACATTGATTCCCTCAGTTCTTAACGCCCTCTGCACAAACTCAACTTTGAATAATGGCTTACAAATACCAGTTAATGACGATTTAAGCCATGGTCTATCCTCCATTGGAATAAAAACTTCCAACGGCTTCTTCACCTCCATCTTAGCTCCAAAACTCCCCACTTTCTGGCCCTCGACTTCTTTTGCTCCCACAACTATATCCTTATATGACCTTCCATTGTAAAACTTATTCATCATCTCCTTCTTTCCAGAACCTGCAGCTGGAGATAATGGTAGTTTCCTGAGCAACTCATCTACACTAGCATCTGTAGACCTCGCCACACTAGTACGCTTGAAGCTCCTCGAAATACTTTTCTTCTGATACTTAGCAATCGACACCGATATTCTCCTCCCATCGACCGAGATGTTATTCATCTTTTCAATTGCAAAATGCATATTATCTTTGCCAGCAAAATGCACAAAGGCAAACGTACTTTCCTTGTAATAAGGTCTCCTATTAACAAATGGAATGAACACCTTAATCACCTTGCCATAATGACTAAAACGATCCATAATGCACTTCTCTACACTCGCCTGCTAAGATTATCCACGAACGTAACCCACGATACTCCTCCAGACAAACCTTAATAACAGACAATTCAGTTCTTCACGAGGTATGAATTTTTCTACATCTCAGTGGCCTCCAAAAGATTGTGGTGAAAGCCTTATTGGTTTATAACTTCTTTATGGTGTTTTATGCTTGGTGGGAAAAGAATGATCTTAGGTTGATTGTATGACATTGAAATACATAAAACGGGCACATCGGTATTTGCTTCTTTTTTCTTATCACGGGTAGGACACATGGATAGTATGCTTCTGCTAGTCCTGTTACACCTTCCTCTACTCCAAAGGCTCTAACTTGAAGTTGCAATTACGCATTTTTCCTATTACTAAAGCATAGTGGATTAAAGGAACTTGGTCGCTATCTTTCGTACCACCATTGGCATTACTGCTATCTAGTTGTGTCTAAGGCTCCTTAACAATACATTTGTTAACTGTGAGCAAGCATAGTATAATTACCATGCATGTAGTCCAATTGATTTTCATGCTCAAGGGTGGCAGTTCAACTGCCATTTTTTGCCTATTTCCTGTAGATTTATATTTAAGTTCCTATCTCCATGTGCAATGCAGTTATTTTAAAAAAAAAATAGATTTTATTTCCTTATAGCTCGTCTTTCCTTTACTGATTATATCTTTTTCTATCTCTGTCTCTTTCACTTCCCATGCAATGTAGCTACAATTTGGTGGCCACAATCTTCCGCTTGCTTTACCTGCAAATAAGCCATTTGTAATCCTTTTTGTTGATAGATCATCTGAGACATCAGAAACTAGAAGAAAAAGTAGGGAAGCTCTTGATGCATTCAGAGAAGTAGCGCTTCACAACCAGATTTCAGATTTGGTGAGTTCACAAAATACTGACCATCAAGACAAGTCATCATTTCTAGGAATAGGATTACGGGAATGTAAAATTACTTGACACGTTATTGGAAATGTTACATCAACTTGTTTGGTTAATTTGGTAGGAATGTAATATAAATTTACTCAAATCTAAATTATTTAGTTAACTAATCAAATTATCGACATTTTAAACAATTTGATCAAGAGTCTATAAAAAATTTCATTGCTAAAACTGAAAAATATTGATTAAATATAAATCAAATTATTTTAGGGAAATTTTGTTTATTAATGAAATAAATAAATAGAGAAGAGGAGGTTTCAACATCCAAGTGCCAAAAAAAGTATTATTTTAGGGTAATATGGAATCGTTCATTACTCAAGAAATAGGTGGAAATAGAATTCCCACCATTTTTTATGAATAGTTGGCATTGTTGGTAACGTATCATTACCGCATTGAGGGAATGATTGCAAATCAAATGCATGAATGATTTTGCGGAAAAGATAATTACCCAGTGATGAAGTATTCCTCTAACCATATGCACCCTAAGGGTTTCCTAAAGCAATTAGATCAAGATATGGTGGTCCAACTTCATTTATTAAGAAACATAAATTTAAAATGTGTCTATCTTCTCAACAACTCTTCTCTAAACAATAATTAGATTGTTGAATGTAAATTAGTGTTTTTCCAACAACTTTAAACAACAAACTTTTCTTTTAGGAAGCGATCCTACTATGTAACCAGTGAAACATCATACCTGTACAGGATGATCGCCAAGAATAACCTTGCCACCATACTTTATTGCTTCTTCAAAAAACCACACAAATTTTAGACCCAGGGAAAACCTCGAGCCTACTAGCAACCTATCATTATCGGTAATGATTCAGGACACATAAATTGCTTACTCAATAAGGGAACAACAACAATCCTCAAGGAACATGGACAAAAGGTACTAAGAGACGAGTACC